GAGTTTCGCTCTTGTTACCCGGGCTGGAGTGCAGTGGCGCGATCTCAGCTCTCTGCAACCTCCGCCTGCTGGGTTTAAGCGTTTTTCCTGCCTCAGGCTCCCGGGTAGCTGGGATTACAGGCACGCGCCACCATGCCCAGCTAATTTTTGTATTTTTAGTAGAGACGGGTTTTCACCTTGTTGACCAGGATGGTCTCGATCTCTTGACCTCGTGATCCACCCGCCTCGGCCTCCCAAAGTGCTGGGATTATAGGCGTGAGCCACCGCACCCGGCGTCTAATAAAGTTTTAAAGCTATTTTAAAACTCAAATGAAGTAAATGGTTACCAACAATAAATCTGGTCATTTATCTTTTCCCAAATGTTACACACATAAAACAGGAACAACTAAGTACTTTGTTCATGTCAGTGCTTAGTGATGGAAAATGAAAGAAACTTAAAAGGCCTTTTCAGATCATCAGCCTCATCCAAAGAGGACTGTGTTCCTAAAATACACTGATATATGTTTTCCTGTTATACCATGTATGAAATTTTGCAAATAACCAAAAAATTATCTGAGAAAGGAAAGATTTTTATTTTCAACAATATTCACTGTCATACTAGTAACATAAAGGGAAAAATTCTCCAGTGTTCTGGAGATTCCCATATGCCTACCACCTGCACAAAGTAGAGGAATACCACAATTCAGGAAATCAAGATTCCTCTATCAGAGGCCAAGAAATTTCAAGCATTGCTCTAAAGTTTGGTTACATTAATATTACCAATCTATAAATAAAGAGAATCTTAAAAAGAAGGCTTGGTAATCTCAGCACTGTGGAAGGCTTAGGCAGGCAAATCGCTTGAGCCCAGTTACAGAGCTGCCTGGGCAACATGGCAAAATCCCATCTCTGCTAAAAATACAAAAAAAAAATAGCCAGGTGTGGTGGTATGTGCTGGTAATCCCAGCTATTCAGGAATCTGAGGTGGGAGGTGGGAGGACTGCTTGAACCGGAGACTTGCAGTAAGCCAATATCACACCACTGCACTCCAACCTGGGCAACACAGCAAGAATCTGCTGCAAAAAAAAGAAATTCTCCAAGAGCCATGTCCTCACCTGTTTCTTATTCCTGGTGGGAGATTTCTTTTGCCTACATCAGTCGCTGGATTCATGCAGGCAAATAAACGGAAGTCAGGATGCCGAACCAGTGGCTCTGTAAGAGAAAATTATGAATTCTCAAAAAAGGTAAGATTAACTCCACAGAACCCCAGGCCCAGCCAGCCTGGTGCTGGCTGTTCACACCATCCTTGTCTTTTCTGAAACCACAATGAAATCACTTTCCAGGCCTATATATACAACCTAATCTTACACTGCAGTCTTTTGTGGTATATGTATTCACTGTTATTAACTATTCACCTGTTATTTTGTAAGTGTGTTTATTATCCATAACCCAAACACCTGGTCCAATTATATTATTCTTCTTTACATTCCCCATACCAAAACAGTTCAAAGAACTTTGCAGAAAATTAATATCTAAGAAATGAACAAATTCCATTGGGAGGCCCATGTCATCCTTCTAACCAAAAAAATAAATAAATAAATAAATTCTCACTCTAAAGTTGCCATTGGGCTCGACACCATGTCAAATCCCAAGGGATTCATGTGCTACCTGTGTCTCCTCGATCCAGCAACACTAGGGATCCAGAGGATCCTTCAAGCAAACCACTCAGACATTCTAGTATTTCTGGAGCAGCCAAGTTAATCTCATCCAACAAGATCCACTCTCCTTTCTTTACAGCCTGAGCTAATGTACCCTAGAAGAAGATAAAATAAAATGTTAAGAATTTGTGTCAAATAAAGGCACACTTGCCAAAAACAGTTATGCAAGCAGGGTTAGAAATAGAGGCAGGGGGTAATCTTTCCCACTTGATGGGCCTATACCTCAACTACCCATTGGCTGACAGCAGATAGTCAGAGTTAAGGCCAAGTTAATTTTTTAAATGTCCAAAAGGGTCAAGGGAACATATTTGGGCCTAACAGAAAGATGCAGTGAACTAAATCCTCTAATTATGTGGATGTTCATGTAAATAGCTTTCATTGTAGTCAGGTGTTTAAAGGCACCCAAAGGCTATTAGAACTCAAAATAATTATAGGGTCAGGCTACATGAAGATTAGACAAATGTGTTTAGTGTTTGTCATACACAGCCTTTCTTTTTTTTTTTTTTTTTTTGAGACGTAGTTTCGCTCTTGTTACCCAGGCAGGAGTGCAATGGCGTGATCTCGGCTCACCGCAACCTCCGCCTCCTGGGTTCAGGCAATTCTCCTGCCTCAACCTCCTGAGTAGCTGGGATTACAGGCACGCGCCACCATGCTCAGCTAATGTTTTGTATTTTTGGTAGAGACGGGGTTTCACCATGTTGACCAGGATGGTCTCGATCTCTTGACCCTGTGATCCACCCGCCTTGGCCTCCCAAAGTGCTGGGATTACAGGCTTGAGCCACCATGCCCCGCCATACACAGCCTTTCACACCTGCTGAATGTCAAAATGAATCATCCCCTGGCTTTAGTACACTAGTGTTATATCTTCAAATTCTATATCCTAGAGCAATAAAAACAAATCTAATCATCTATTCAGTTGACATGACATCAAAAACTATTTTACGATTATTAAGCTGCTTTATACTTTTGTAAAAATGTTTATCCTAAAAAACAAATCTACTACAAATTTAATTGAAAAACATAAAACAGAAGAAATATATTAACTCCAGTGTATTACTAAGTCATAAAACATAAGCCTTGTTTTGAGAACACAACAATTTAATTGGTTGTTTTAGAATAATCCTATTAAGAATCATTCTGATGACCAAATTTCCCACACTCACAATGTATGGTTGACTATACCTTCTCTGTTACTAAAACACCATCGAGTAAGACTCCCACTTCCTCTAGGGCTTCATCTTAAGGACTGTCACAGAAACAAAATTTTTTTAAATGCCCAAGTCACAAATATTTGACCAAGTTGATCCTTCCTACAGGGTCACAGGACAGCAAACAGTAGAGATGTCCATGACTTGGGATTAACATTGGGGCACCAAAGTGAACAGCTCCAAATCCCTCTCTCACATTCACACACTCCCCGGGGACACACGTGGCAAAAGAAAGACGACGGAGTTCACTAGTTGTCATCAATTGTATCTTTAAAAATAATAATAGATGCAGCAATCTCGCTTCTGGGTACTTCCACCCAAAAAACTATGAAAACAGTATGTCAAAGGGATGCCTACATTCCCATGCTCATTCCCAAGCTCATTCTCACTATGCACAATAGCCAAGATAAAGAATCAACCTATGTTTCCATCAACAGATACGTAAAGAGAATTTTGTATATATACATATATACAAACAATGGAATCTTACTCAGCTTGAAAAAATAAATAAATTTTGTCATTTGTTACAACAGAAACAGAAACAGAGAACATTATGTTACATGAAACAAGCCTGGTGAAGACAGACAAGTATCGCATGCTCTCACTTATATGTGAAATTTAAAACAATAGAACTCAAAGAAGCAGCCAGCAGAATGGTAGAGTTAGCAGAGGCTAGGAGAGTTGGGGAGTATGCAGTAATGAAGGTACAAAGCCTTAATTAGACAGAAAAAATAAACTTTCTTTCCTTTGAGATACATATTGCACAGCATGGTGACCATGCTGTAAACAGTAAATAATGAGTTGTACATTTCAAAATTACTAAAGCAGTACATTTCAAATATTCTCACCCCAAAAAATGATATTTGAGGTGATGAATACGTTAATTAGTTTTAGTTATTCCACTGTATTCATAAATCATAACATTATTTTGTACCCCATAAATATATACAATTATAATTCATCAATTTATACTTTTAAAATTTATATTTAAATAATGATGTTGCTCATTAAGCCCTTATAATTGCCATAATTACCATGAAGAACCTTTTTCAAAATTTTCCCCCAAAATCATTATTTCATTAAGACAATACAAAACAGTAACCTGCCTAAAACATTATGTTTTGCATCAAATCATAAGCTAAATAACGAAAACAGAAATACCTCTACAAATGCAAACAATAAGGTATTTTCAGTCATTTTCATCTGTTGTTGGGCATGGTTGAGTCTGAGACCAAATGCTTCCCATTTCTCTTTTATGAGTAACCCTAGGAAAGAATAAAGACAAGAATCTAACACACATTTTGAGCTGTAATATATACAACTTTTAAACATAACACAATTAACAAAACACTAAGTCTAAAAACTTACATAATGCTAACTAAATGCCAGACAACACTAATTAGCTCACGTGTATGCATATCTATGTATTAATTACCTCATTTAACCCTCACGCAACCCTCTGGACTAGTTATTCTTATTCCTGCTTTACAGATAAGGAACCACACAGAAGTAAATAAAGCTAGCAAAAGCCTCTTGGCTATGGAATCCAGCTCCTTAGAAACAAGCTTTTTCTGAGGAAATTAGCTTTACTGACTAAATAGTACTTGCACATCAGCCTTACCAGTCATCTGTTTTTGCAGAAATCATATGAAGAATGGGGGCACAATACTTCATAATTAGTCATTCTGTCAATTCCTAGAAAGCTCCAATTTGTACTCTTACTCCAAGAGTAAGAGTATTTACTCTTCCCCAAAACTCTTAATCTGTTCACTGAAGCCCAGCCTCATGCCCTCCCCCACGGCACCCTGGGTCACATCCTTACCACTTTCACTCTCTTTTCCATCCTTGTTAACAGCAGACTTGTGTACATGCTGCATTAGTCTCAGGAGATCATGCCACCGTTTCTGTCTGTAACAGGTCTGAATGTGCCCCAAGAACGTAAAGTTTTGTTTCTTGGAAAATGTCTGGGCAAAGAGCTCCTCAAATGCCTCCCGTAAGGGTAGCCAAATAAGCTTATGGTCCACCGGTTTATAACTGAAACCGATACAGGTAAATGTGATTCACAAACTTCAGAAGTTAACAGAAGTTAGAAAGCATGGCTCAGAAAATAGGAGTAGGTCTCAGATTTCATTTAATCAAAGTCAGAAATAATACCGAAATATTTAAAATCTACATTACAGTTTTAAATTGTAATCTGTTTTCCCCCATTTGAAGGGCCTATAATGAAGGTAAAAATGATTATCAAATTAACAGTGCTATGAAAAAAACTAGCTTAGCCCGGCTACTCATACTGGTAACCCCAGCACTTTGGGACACTGAGGCAGGAAGATCACTTGAGCCCAGGAGTTCAAACCCAGTCTAGGCAACATGGCAAAACTCTGTCTCTACAAAAAAATATAAAAATTAGTCAGGTGCAGTAGCACACACCTGCAGTCCCAGCTACTTGGAAGGGTGAAGTAGGAGGCTCAAGCCCAGGAAGTGGACGTTGCAGTGAGCCAAGAACACACCACTGCACTCCAGCCTGGGCAAGAGAGCCAGACCCTATCTCAAAAAAAATAAAATTAAAAAAAAAATTTTAAGTCCTATTTGAATAGTAAAATTCACATCATTTATTTTCCCAACATGTCTAAATAATCATGTATAGGGCATAATAAGAAACCATCCATATTTAATTAAGCTTGACTAAAATCTGAGGAATAATAAACATATGAAATTGATTTACTTATGTAAATTAAACCCAGCCCACACATTATCAATTAGGAAAAGGGTAGGAGAGAGCAACAATTTGTGCTACCTCCCTGGCAAAAGCTCCAATGAAGCCTTATCTGAGAAAACTCTTCTTCTATTGCACTGAGCACCCTAGAACCTGTGGTTGTTAACACTAAAAAAACAGTATTTCTTCCCTCAAGCAATAAACACAAACATAAGAAAAAAATTTTAAGCCACACTTACCCTCCAAGCAAGTCTGCAGTATCACTTTGTTGATTCATATTGACAACCCTCAAACGGTGGCCTTTTATAAAGACAGTACAAATGAGTTACTCCAATAATTTAAAGACCAATAATATCCAGTGTGCTCAAGGCTGTGGAATATAGCATGGGGCTTTTTTATTTTTTGAGAGAAAGTCTTGTTCTGTCACCAAGGCTGGAGTGCAGTGGTCCAATCATGGCTCACTGCAGCCTCGACTTCCTGGGCTCAAGTGATCCTTCTGTCTCAGCTTCCCAAGCAGCTGGGACTATATATAGGCACATACCACCACACTTGGCTAACTTTTGTGTAAAGACAGGGTCTCATGATGTTGCCAGGCTGGTCTTAAACTCCTGGGCTCAAGCAATCCTCCTGCCTCCAGCTCCAAAAGTGCTAGGATTACAGGCATGAGCGAGCCACTGTGAAAATAAGGTAAATTTTCAAATGTGCATTTGCTCTGAATCATGAGAGCCCAGAAGTTGGAGACCAACCTGGGCAACACGGTGAGACCTCATCTCTGCAAAAAACTTAAAAAATCAGCCAGGTGTGGTGACACATGCTTGTAGTCTCAGCTCTCTGGAAGGCTAAGGTAGGGATCACCTGAGCCTATGAAGTCAAGGCTGCAGTGAGCTGTGAGTTCACCACTGCATTCCAGCCTGAGCAACAGAGTACGACCCCGTCTCAAAAAGAATAAATAAAAATAAAAAGAAGAAATGCAGTATTCTGTTTTTAAAAGTTGTCCAATTTGTTTAACTAAATGCAATATGTAGAATATAATCCCATATTTTGTTTTAAAACAAAACAAAATCTAAACATATATACATGTATTTGCATAGGCAAAGATTAGAAATGAAATAATTTAATAACAATCTGTTAAAAGTAGTTATTTCCAGGCAAAGAGACTACACGTGGACTGTTGGCACTTGTTAAATTCCGTGGTCTTTGAATTAGTATTTTTAAAAAAGGAAAAAAGGTAGTCAGTATGAAATGTCTGGGGGCAGATTTATTTCTGCTAGGCATTACCTGTAATGTGAGCCAAGTATTGGACAGTAGAGGTTTTGCCGGTCCCAGTCTCTCCCACTAGCAACACAGGCTCCCCTTTGCTGACACACACTGCAAGCTGTTCGATGAGAACAGAGGACGGCCGTGTAGCAGCAAAAGTGAACTTCTCCCTGGGAAGGAGAAAAAAAGAGTTTAAAAACCATGCTGCAAGCTTTTCCTAGTTTTGCTGTGAGAAACCAGATTTTCCAGAGTCAACAAACAAGAATGAGAAAACAGCTCAGAGTAATTGCCTTCATGCTTTGCATGTTGTAAGACAGTCTTACAACATGCAAAAATTACAGAATTCAGTCACTCTGCAAACACCGAATACTCAGATATCTGATACCATGCTAGGCTCTGGAGATTAAAAAGATTAATAAGACAAGACTATCTGTACCAGTTATCTCATCTTGAGCAAATTACTTAATGTGTCTTAGCCTCAGTTTCCTCACCTGTAAGATGTGGGTAACAACAGTACCTAGTTGAAATAGGTTAATAATCTTTCCCCAAACTCATGTCCACCCAGATCCTATGAATGTGACCTTATTTCAAAAAAGGGTCTTTGAAGAAAATTAATCAAATTAAGATAAGGTCATGTTGCATTCAGGTGGGTCTTAAATCCAATGTCTGGTGTCCTTATAAGAGAAAGATTTGGTGACAAAGAAATACACACACAAGAAAGAAGGGCCATGTGACAACAGAAACGGCACTTGGTGTGATACAACTACAAGCCAAGGAACACCAAGGACTGCTGGAAGCCAAAGAGATCAGGCACTGTGGCTCAGGCCTGTAATCCCAGCACTTTGGGAGGTCAAAGCAGGTGGATCACCTGAGGCCAGGAGTTCAAGACCAGCTGGCCAACACAGAGAAATGCTGTCTCTACTAAAAATATAAAAATTAGCTGGGCATGGTGGCACATGCCTATAATCACGGCTATTCGCAAGGCTAAGGCACGAGAATCACTTGAACCAGGGAGGCAGAGGTTGCTGTGAACCAAGATCACGCCACTGTACTTCAGCCTGGGTAACAGAGTGAGACTCTGTCTCAAGAAAACGGGGAAAAAAAAAGAAAAAAACAGGAAGAGGCAAGAAAGCATTCTCCCCTAGAGCCGTCAGAGGGAGGAGTATGACTTCCAGCCTCCAAGACTGTGAAAGAATAATGTCTATAGTTTAAAACCACCATGTTTATGGTAATTTGTTACGGGAGGCCTAGGACAGTAATATATTAATTCAGAGAATTATTACAACCACTACATGAGAAAATATGTAAAGACTTAGTATAAAGTGAGACATGTAATAAGTATTAAATGTTACCTCCATCTCAGAATTTTTGCTGTTGTTGTTTTTTTGTTGTTGTTGTTGTTATTATGTTTTGTTTTGAGACAGAGTTTCTCTCTTGTTGCCCAGGCTGGAGTGCAAAGGCGTGATCTCGGCTTACTGCAACCTCCGCCTCCTGGGTTCAAGCAATTCTCCTGCCTCAGCCTCACAAGTAGCTGGGATTACAGGCATGTGCCACTACACCCAGCTAGATCTCAGAGTCTTATATAACCCCAGCCTTCCAGGAATTTACGGACTAATGTCTGACTTCCAATTGAGGCTTACTTCACTAAATACACTGCAGTGAATAAAATCAGTGATTCATCTTTGGTATTGTCAAGTCTCTAATAAATTTCATTGCCTCTTTCACCTATTAATATCTAATTTCACAGAACATACTTTGGGAAAACACCACTACTTCCCATGTAACATACTGCAGATATCACAGTTCAGACACGTGTTTTGCAAAAAGACAAGAGGCTGAGCTAGACTTCTGTCCAGTTTCTGGAATCCCCACAGATGGCAGCTTAGTTTAGAGCCCTACTTACCGCTGTATGTGAACAGCCTCACTTTGTTTCCGGAGAAGCCGCACTCGACCAACTTGTAAATCTAGCTCATTGATCACAATTTCTGGTTTATAACGTTGACAAAAGAATTCAGCCTGTGGGACAAAAGATTTTATCTGAGTAAAGATCCATATACTTTTTGAACACTTCCTTATCTAAAGGATCCTTTTGGCCCTCAAATTAGCCCTCTGCAAAGAACCATTCTCTAATTCCCAGAGAGGTGCGTGAGATTTTCATCAAGACACTTCTTTTTTCTTTTTCCAAATTTCTAATACTATGTTTTTTAAAACACTGATGTTTCTTTGGTACTTTTTAAATAAGCCCTACCTATATATGGAGTGAACACCCTGATATATCCCAACAGAGAAAGTGAACAGTAAGTCCACATCTAAAAGGTAACATAATGTTGGAAATCATGGTACATATCTGACTATAGCCAAAACAAAAAGAGCTGTGGCAGGTGCTCCTGGAATTCTACCTAGCAGCCATTCCTCTCTTGTCCAAAGAACACAGACTCTGTTCAGGTTTGGGGCAGGAGTAAAAGAAGTAAACTAGTCTGGGAAAAGTGAGCTCTTCCCCAACAAAAGAAGATGAATATTGGTGTAATGAATATTCATGGTGGTTTTATTGCTTCCCGATGATCAACATATGTATCATTTACATCCCTTTCAGCAGGATGTTCTATGACCTCCAGCCAAAGCCATCCCAACTATTTCATAAGCCTTATAAAAATCTCCACTACTGCAATTCCTGACATAAGATCTTTTAGCGTAATCGTTCATGTGAGAATACCAGGTACCTGCCTCAAGACGAGCCAGATATTTCTCCTGCCACCAATGCCACTGCTGAAAGAATCCCTCCTCCCAAAATACATATTTTGACATAAAACAAGAATGCCAAAATATTAACAATGTCAGCAATGGACCTAAGGTATTCGTTGGTACTCCTCTTTTCAACGTTTTTGCTTGTTTTGGAGACAGACTCTCGATCTGTCACCCAGGTTGGAGTGCAGTGGCACAATTTCGGCTCACTGCAACCTCTGCCTCCTGGGTTCAAGTGATTCTCCTGCCTCAGCCTCCCAAGTAGCTGGGATTACAGACATGTGCTACCACGCCCCGCCTTGTATCAATTTTTTTTTTTTTAGACGGAGTTTCACTCCGTGTCTAGGCTGGAGTGCAATGGTGGGATCTCAGCTCACTGCAACCTCCACCTCCCACATCCAAGCCATTCTCCTGCAGCCTCCCAAGTAGCTGGGATTACAGGCACTCGCCATCAAGCCCCGCTAATTTTTGTATTTTTAGTAGAGACAGGGTTTCACCATGTTGGCTAGGCTGGTCTCAAACTCCTGACCTCAGGTAATCCACCCACCTTGGCCTCCCAAAGGGTTGGGATTACAGGCCTAAGCCACCACGCCCCACC